TTGGCTATATTGACTTTCTGTTATCTTTCTAAGATTATGGCTATTGCCACTTCCTCTAAATGATCTTTTAATAAAATCTCATGGCTTCAGCTATCCCTTTTATAATTGCAATTTCAGATATTCATCTTTACTCTGCATTCTCTTTTAAGTGCCAGATATGGAAGTCTAGCTGTGTGCCAAATGTTCAGGGATAAGAATCAGGAAGGAGTCTCTGCATTTGAACTGTAGAGGAAACTATCTTACCTGGCAAATTTATTAATTTCGCTTGTTGGTAAAATTTTGAATGACTTTCTTTACTTTTGGACATCTAGTGATCCTTTATAAAGGAAGAGAAGGAAACCCTTTCTGTTCAGAAATAATACACAACTCCTGTCAATTAGTAGGAAGATTTCTCATGTGATTCTGGAAAGAATTTGTAACACCTGTTTCCAAAGAAAGCAAGAAAAATATTGCATGTTTTCCTCCCCAAAATGTATTTTGTTCAAACTGAATTGGACACCAAATAAAGAACATTCCTTAAATTTGGAATGAATAGAACTTTCTAAAAACTGCTCAGGTAACACAAAGTAGTAAAGAGCCAAAAAAATTTTATTTACTTTTAACCTTAGACTGCTAAAAGGAGAAAATGAAAGGGTTTGTAGAAGCAAATTTCACAAAAGTAACTGTAGACTTACTTATTAGACCCAAATATACATGTAGAGAAATGAACAAACATGGTTACATTTATATATGCTTGATTGTTTTTTTTTTTTTTGGAAGGGAGAATGTTTCTTACATATGGGTTTTATCCATTACCTTTTCGGTAAAACATCAGCTCCTAGAAGCAATTCCCTCACTGTTTATTTTTCTTGTAATTTTTGCTGAGGTTTCTGACTTCTCTTCCATAGGTTGCAGCAAAGTGTACTTTCACATTAGGCTGGTTTAATCAACCCAAGTATGGTAGATTAAGACGTTTTCTAGGTCACACAAAGCAACTGCCCCTTCACCCCAATCTAACAAACAGAAGAAAATCAGCTGTCTGTGTACAGACCAGCTTAGGGTCGTAGAATTATGGACTGAAAAGAGACCTAAAGATAATGTCATTCCTCTTTCTCATTTGTGGATAAGGAAACTGAGACCCTGGCGGTTAGTCTCCTTTCCTAAAAGAGAGGTGGTATGTTGTGAAAAGAAGAGGAACTTTTTGTTAAAGTCTTGGCTTCCATCCTTACCAGTTGTGTAACATGGTTATCTGCCCTAGTACACCCCCAAGAGCCATGTACTCTTGGGTGAGTTGCTTAACATCTGTGAGTTTCTAATAAAATTTAGCCCAGAGATATAGTTAGTACCTTTTAAAATTTTTAATAATTTGCTGTATTTGTGTTTTTCTTTTTTTTCTTAAACTTTAGCAAGACTGATTATTTCATTAAACTATAAAAACTCATGTGGTTTTATTGATGTGATTTTTCCTTTGTTTTCTATTTCATTAATTTCTGTCCTGTATTCATTCCATTTACTTTCTTGAACTTTACAAAAGTAAGTTGTTGTGTTGAATGTTTGTTTCATAAATTTCTAATATATAAACTTAAGGCTCTTCATTTTCATGTGTAGTATTTTAACTGTATACTTTAAATTTTTGTTTGTCATATTTCCATTCATATCCAATGATTTTGTGATTTACATTTTGACTCTTCTATGACTTAGTGACTTTTAAGTTTTCAAATATGCAGATTTTGGGGGATTTTCTTTTCTTTCCCCTTCATAGAATTGTTAAGAGATAGAATATAGGCAAATACCTGGCAAACAGTAAGTATTCAACAATGTTTTTACTTCTCTTTAAAGACATAAACTTTGACTTTTGAAATTAAAACAGGAAACGACATTGTAAAAAGCACAAATAATACTACAAGTCACTTTATTTCTGTAATATAGCCAAATAAGGAGGTGAAGTATAAAGGGCAAAGAGGGATGATGGGAAAGGGGTGAAACTGGGAGGAGGTGAAGGAGGAAGGAGAATTAAAGGAGGATGTAGGACTATCAAGTTGAATTAATCTAGCTTCTTTGAGGTAGTAGTCTACTGATCACTTAGGTCTGTGGGATTTGGGATTTGAATCATTTTTACTATATTTCTTATGCCTTTATAATAGAAGTATCCATAGATGACCTTTTTTTGAGTGTATATATGTGCAAGTTCTGAAACTATATGGCAAATATTCATAATGTTTTTGAGGAGAGGGTCCATAGTTTCATTAGAATCTTAAAGGAGTCTGTGAACCCCGAGAAGTTAAGAACTGCTTCTTTAGAGACTTCATCATGTGGGATAACTTGAGAAGCTTACCAGGAAAGAATTCTGTTTTTTCCTGTTACAGTAATGACTACTACCCACTTAAGAGAGATTGAGTGTTCCTTACGATTCCTCGGGTTAGAAGCAGATGACGAGGCAATGTACTAAGAATGGAATTTAGCTTTTACTGAAGTAAAACTTAAAACTACATGATACTTTATAAGCATAGATATTGTGCTACTTGTAATGAATGACAACACCTTAAATGCCTTTGATTATTATTTTTTGAAGGAATGAGTGAATTAATTAATTAAATTGAAGTATATTCAGTTATACCTAAGCCAAGTGTTCTTGGCTTCCACTCAAGGAAGGAATAATTCTGGGAGTAAGAGGAAGCAGTTGGTTGCTGCTATGAAGATATGGGGTACTGTAAAGGTGAGCTATGGGCAGACATAGGCAAGAAGACACTCTGCTGGGTTAGAGATTAAGAAACTTATCCAAGGACAGAAGAGTGGGAGGATCTGAGGTTGGTGGAGGGGTTGGACAGTACCTCAGACACACTTGACCAGCCACTTTATTTCCCCTTGTAGGAAGGCTAGTTGCCGGGAGAGAGAAGCCAGCTCAGGATTCTAAAATTTGAGGGATGAAGCAGGGATAGGTTCTTTAAAAGAAGCAAGTCAAAAGTATTCATGTGGGGGAATTTTATTCTGAGCACTGGCTCACAGTAAAATCTATGTAAAGTCTATGTTTATTCAAGTACTTCGTAATTATTTCCTCTGAAGTTAGAGACTCAAAATTAGTTTTGCTGAGTATTAAGTGTTAATAAAATTTGATGGCTCTCAACCTTAGTTTATTTTTAACCCCCTAAATCTGCATGACCCGTCATGAAAACCTCCAGTTATATGTAGCTATTTCAGATGAAATTAATTAAAGTGAAAAAGTCCTTCATTCTCACCAGCCATGTATCAAGTGCTCATTAGCCTTGTGTGGCTAGTGGCTCCTGTATTGGACAGCACATTGTATTGGACATTTTTGTCATCACAGAAAATTTTATTGGACACTGCCCTAAGTGAAATTGTTTATTTTCTTTCCGCTTTCCTCCATCAGACTAACGCTGGTTTATATTAATATGTAATGAGTTTTTTAAAATAAAAAACTTGAAAGACTCACTAGAGTAATATTCCTTTGCTTATTACATAATTAAAAAAACAGATACACTTTTAGAATGATCTGCCTGAGTGCCATTATTTTATAAGATTTTTCAAGAAGTGGTGACTAAAATAAATGTATTCTTTATGGTTTGTATTCAACTACCTCTACTAAACTGATGACCCTCTTGATTATTTCTGCTGCCTGTAAGAGAAGCATGTTCTTGAAAGGCCTAACATGTTATAACAAAGTTTCTAAAGTGAGAAAATTACCTTTGTCTTGTACATTTTTAGGAGATACTAGACTTACTATGATTTATCTACTTCGTATGCGATAGATCATCATAGCCCTCAAAAGTTGCAAGAGAGGAAAACCTCCAAAGTAATTATTTCACTATAATCCTGTTTCTCTGAGAACCTTTCAATCAGTCATGAAAGCTAAGGGACTATTTGTCACTTTTTTGTTGTTTTAAGAGAATAGAAAAATGGGCTTTTTCCTTTGCCCTGATTTTAGACGATCTCTTTGACATAGATAGGACTTTTTCAGTAAAGTTGCATGTACAACTTAATTTTAGGAAACAAAATGAAAAAGTTTTCATTGTGATAAAGTGTTGTTTAAAATTCAAAATTAATGATTGGGATCTTTTGTTTTATTATGAAATATTCAAACATGGGAGTATTTACAGTAAAAACTGAGTTTTCTACCTGATTTGTATTAATACTGTCTGGAAATGGCTACTAAAAAGTTGGTTATATATTCTTCTAGGCTTTCCAATGTATATTTAGACAGTAATTTGTTTTACATAAATTAAATTATATTAAATATAATGTTTTTACAGATTAATTTGCCTAGTAAGCAATATATACATGTACATATTTCTGTGTATATGATCCATACTCATACTACTGATTAGGTTTAAATTACTTCCAGATTTTATGGTAGGACATCTAAAGCATAAGTATATTTTATATAAAGATAATATACAGTTGTAGCGTAGTGCAGCTGCTTTAGCATAATAGTGACCTATAATATGTGCTCAATACATGTTAGTTTCCATTCTTCTTGGACATATATGAGAAAGGCCATGGAAGGTGATTAACTGTTTTTTTCCCCCCCTACTATAACACAAACCTTTCTCTTAATCATATTTGTGTTTTGTGATTCAGGTTTATAAATTACTACAAGACTAGCATGGTTGCTATTTAAGAGTCTTGTAAGCTATGCTGCCCCAATTATTTTAGGTGCTTCTGGCAAAAGCAAGTATTTTTTACTAGTGAGTAAGAGACCACATTGTGATTTATCCTTTTTACTGAGAGTGCGCAGTATAGTGTGACTGTAAAGTACAGTATGTGAAACGTTTTACATGGGAATCTTGGAACAAAGTCCTTTGCTAAATTTGAAGATGTATAGAATGGATACTGAGATTGGAAATTCAACACTTCTCCTATGGAGCAGGATATGTAATTGTGTGCTTTGTGATAAGATTTCAAATCTGATTGTTTCTAGAAGTTCTAGAGAAGAGATTAGGAAAAGATGGATCTACAGCTGATAATTACTTATAAAATCCTGTTGTAAAGTATTATTGCTTTATATTCTTCATCATTTCATTTGGAAATCTGATCCTTCTGCTTTCCTGCAGGGAATTTGTGGACCTCTGTTTTGGGTGGATCAGTAAAGAGGATTGAATTGGGGCCCCGACTTCTTTTTTCATTGAGGAAAGAATAAGGGGTGCTGCTGAGAGAAGTGCTTCTGCAATAGCCATGTCTGAAGCTTTGCTTGGAGGTAATGCTGGACTGTACAAAAATTGCCTTCAAGATTACAGGAGTTTGTGAATTATGGATTATGTTTCCCAGTGGAAAACAAGCTTGGAAAATAATTGTTAGGATACAGAATTGGAAGTGCTTCCCTAGCATGTCCTTGGACTTAACGACTGTTAATCAGTTTTGTTTGTTTGTTTGTTCTTTTCTTGGCTTATTTGTTTTAACTTGGGTCTTGTGGAGAGAAAAATAACTTAAAACTTTTTAGGACCTAAGTTTATGGTTATACAAAATTATTGTTTATGTGCCTCAGAGGCTTTTGCTTGCTTGTTTATTCATTAGTCATTTATTCATTCAACATATATTCCTTGAAGTGTTTACTGTAAGCAGGATTATGGAGGGAAGCCTATCAGATAATAATCTACTCAGGGAAAAGGAAAACTGGAAAATGTATTTTGCAGGGATACCAAAGGCTGAAGATAGGGGTGTGTGTGTGTGTATTTAGGAGAGAGAGAGACATACATCCATACATACATATACAGAGACATGGTCCATAGTTTTAAGTTCTAAAGGAAACATCTAAACAGTCTTAGAGCTCTCTCCTTTTCCTGTTTCTTTCTTTCTTTCTTTGTTTCATGCCCTCAACATCTCTCATATACACTAGTATTTCTTGCCTCTGTACTTAACCCTCTGTTCTAACTTTACACTGCTTTTTCCTTTATACAGTTCTTCTGAGAGTCTTTTGCCCCATTAAAGCACAGATTGGGTTGTGTGTCTTTTGTTACCCACAGAATAAAGTTAAAACTTCTTAATATATAATCTCTATATAGATTCTGTAGATAGTTTCTTTATTAAACCTCCCCTGAGTTATCCATTTTTACTTACTGTCTGTTCTTTGTTGAGACCCTGACTGGTCTTACCTTCTGCCTCCTGGTTCTGGATAGCTTGTTTCCCTGTGGAGACCTGTTCTCATCATTGTCTACCTTACCCTCAGTATTAGGAGGCTCACTTTGCCCTTTGGCTTCTAGATGGATTTGAACAATGGGCAGGAGGAGGGTGGGGTTGCTGTGTTTAGTCTCCTGGCTTCCTCTTTCCAAATCCTGTCATGTAGGCTCTCCCAGAAGTCATAGCTCTTTGAACCTTTTAGGCCTAGGAGTAGTCATAGCTTCAGGAGGTTGTACTGTCTCTTGACTCTGCCCACACCTTCTATATCATGTAAATAGCCCCTTTTAAAGCTCTTCTTAAGTTCCCCAGTTTGAGGGTGCTGTTTCCTGCTGGGATCTTGACTGCTACATTGTCCAAGTCCTCTAAGCTCAGTCCTGCTTGCAGTTACAGCTGTGTTATTTTCCTGTAGCAGGTATCTCTCTCTTCTGTTAAAACTTTTTTGATGAGGTCTTTTTTTTATTCCTTCCTTCTTTTAGTCTTTTTTTTTTTTCCTTTTTCCTTTCCTGGCACCATGGTTGCCATGTAATAGAAATTGAAATGTCTGAGTGAATAAGGAGAGGAGATTTTCAAGAGGACGGACATTTGAATTTTCCTATAGTATAGCATAATCTTTATTTAGATGTCTGAAATTGAGGAAATAGGGGAAGCTAGTGGGTACTGAAGTCAGTATAGTCACTTAAATAACATCTAAATTTATATTTCATTCTTTTCAAAATGTAAACTTAGAACTTGTTTTCCTTTACACTTGCTTTTATGTATTAGAAATTAACATTGACTCTCTTTAAAATGCATTATAGATATATTCCATTGGAATCAACTGTAACAGCCTGTCTTTAAGGAAGTATGTACTATATACAAAATGGGAGATAATTCAATTATTACTTAATTGGGGAAAAATATAGGAAATGTTTATTATATATATCTCCAGATATTTATCTATCTTCCTCAATATATCTTAGAAGAATTGCACTAAGAGCAGACCTGTAGTAGCTAACAAATGTGTTTATTAGCAAGATTGAACTTTTAAAAAATGATTTCTCTTAAGAAGGAAATTTCAATTAAGAGAAAAATATCCTGGAATTATGATAAGGGTTAAATATATATGTATCCTTCATATATTAAGGAATGAATATACCTGTCCTGTGAAAAGGTTTATTTTGAGAAGAATCTTCCTATAATATTAACTTTGACTCAGAACTCTCTCTTACTACTAAAAAATTACCACTGAAAATACTTTCTGTAATAGATTGAGATTATTTCATTGCTTTTTACAGTAGAAGTGTCTGTTTACTCTAGGGGGATGGCTATGCCTCTGTGTGTTTGTATATGTATGTCTTAGTCTGCTTGGGCTGCCATAACTAAATACCATAGACTAGGTGGCTTAAACAACAGAACTTTATTTTCTTAGAGTTCTGGAGGCTGGTATTCTGACATCAGGGGGCAAGGATGTTCAGGTTTTAGTGAGGGCTCACTTCTTGGCTTGCAGATGGCCACCTTCTTGCTGTATCCTCACATGGCCGTTCCTTGGTTGCATGCATGAGGAAAGAGATCTCTCTTCCTCTTTTTATAAGGCCGCCAATCTTATTGGATTAGGACCCTACCTTTATGACCTCATTTAGCTTAGTTACCTCCAAAAAGTCCTATCTCCAATTATAGTAAAATTGGGGGGTTAGAACTTCAACATAAGAGTTTGGGAGGGGGACACAATTCAGCCCCAAAGGGTACGTGTGTGTATATGTATGCATGTGTATATATAAATCGTGAGCAGTAGAGGAAATCATTGTGATGTATTTAACTTGAAGAAAGAGATTCATGTTTAGACAGTGACACCCCAATATTGAAGCTCATCATTGAAGTTTCTTCATAATGATATTGTGGAGGTAGTGAAATATACTTTCTCACAGAGTATATATGACACTCTTTTTCCTCAGACCTCATTGTCTTTACTCAGTTCTCACTCTCCTTGATGTCTTAGCTTTTATGTCCTACATTTATCTAGATATAGATGTGATACTTTAAGCTACTTTCATTGGCTTTTGTATAACAACATTGTCTTACTTCTTCATTGTTCATTCTTGTGTTTAAAGAATGGCCAGCATGTTCTGCTGAATGAGACAGACAGCCCCTGTGCTCTAGAGCATGTAATCATCCTTTTTACCCCTCTCTCTTGAAGTCTCTTTTCATGATTTCACTATGGATGTTAGTCCTTACCTAATTATTTTATCTTGCTTAGTCTTGACTTTAGGCCTTCTCTGAAAACTGCTTCATTCTCCTGACTTAAGTTACAACCTCTAATGCCAACAACTTACATGTCTCTACTTCTAATATTTATCCTGAATTATATTCCTTTAGCCATTCAGTGAATTTTTATTGAGAACCAGCTGTGTATCTGGTCTAAAGGATACAGGAATGAAAAAAGCAATTTAAAATACAGTGTGATGGATGTGTGCCCAAGGTGCCTTGGGACAGATAAGTAGGGAGTGCCTGGCTTGGACTTGAATGGGAAACAAGAGGGCATGCATCCCCAACAGAAGGCTGAACATATATGTAGCTACCTATGGTTTTGAAAACATAGTATATTCAGGCAACAGCAAATAGTTCAGTGTAATTGGAGCCCTAAGGTCTGCATAGGGAAGAGTAAAAGATGAGGCTGAGCATTTAAGAAGGTGCCAGATCACCCCAAATGCAGTATTCTTAACTCTAAACTAATTTTCTTCCACATAAACCAGCTCCTCATCCCAACTTAACATTTTTATCAGTGAGACCATCATTCTCCCTACTCCAAAGCCCTCAAGTGTCATCTTTAGGCCTGCCTCAGCAATTGTGATCAGTCATCAAGTTGAGTCATTTCTGTATTCAAAACACTCTTTCATGTATCCTTTTCTATTTTCACCATCAACACACTACTTATCACTTAATTACTGGATTATTTCAAAGCTGTATTAAGTGTCCCCCTTTGTAATTTTTTTAAAAGTTAATTTTTAAAACCACTTATTTTACCCTGTCAGTAACATTGAGCAGAAGAGAACAGTGATATTTTATTTCCTTTCTTAGGCCAGTATTCGTAATTCTTTTAGTTAAACACAAATTCCCAAAGCTCTCTTTCTATTATTAAAAAAAAAATCACATAATCTCACACAATCACAGAATTAAGAGTAATTGCAGTAAAGAAGATTTTGTTTCACTAATGTTGAGTTTTTATTATGAACATAACATGTATTTTATACTGAACAAACTTTTTCAGAGGACACCCTCCCCATCCAAATCATCTTCCTTATCACAATTCCAACCTGTTAATTTAGCCAATCACTTGCCTCTATGGAAAGCTCCATATATATATATGCTGACAGTAGGAGCAGATAGCCTGTGTTGTAATCCTGGTTCCATTACTTACTAATTCCAGCAAGGTTCTGCATTTCCCTAAACCACATAATAATTTTATGTGAAAAAAGGGGGAAGTGTCTACTTCACAGGGTTGAAGTAAGGATTGCATGAATCTGTGTAGCCTGGTGCCCAGCATGTGTGAGCACGCAGTACCTGTTGGCTATAAAATGTTCTGTACCATGAAAAGTCTTTGCTCATTCTCTCTATGCTCTTGTTTGGACCTCATGCTGCCCTTGCATCCCTCTCCCACTAAATGCTTTCTTTGAACCCTTCCCTACTGCCTATGATTGACCTGCTGTTTCAAGTTGAGCTTAGTTGCCTTTTCTTTAATTGTCTTTTCTAACTACTTTAGTTCACGTTGACCTCTGAATTCCTGTAGGACTTTTTCTATCATTTTAGAAATTAATCACATTTTCTCTCTTTTATGGTATTCCTTTTAAAATTTACATACAGTAAAATTTACCTTTTTTTGTTTTTATACATTCTATGAGTTTTGACAAATGCTTAGAGTTGTGGAATTACCATCACAATCAAGATAAAGAACAATTTCATCACCCCTCACAAATCTAAGTATTACTTTTAAAACTATTTCTGGAGTATGCATTCTGTTTCTTCATGTACAGTTTAGGCTCTTGAGCCGAGTGTCTGTTTTACACTAATTGTCTCCTCTGGGTATGGCATAGCCTAGTTTCAAGCATCTAGTAAGTAGATGCTTGACTGAAATCCAGTAATGTATAAAATGAAGCCTGAAGGTGTGGTAAATTTGAACATACTAAAAAGCTACTTATTTAAGTTACTTTTCCTTGGTCTTTCATTTTACTTGAGTAAGCAATTTCAGAAGGACAATATTCCTGTACAACTTGTTAAAGTACTTCTGGAGCCTTTCCTGGGCTAATGAAAACCACTTTTAGTTTATCTTTGAAAAACAAAGGACTTGTTTCTGTTTTAATTGTCAGGTATACTTAAGGTTTCTATTTTTTCTAGCCCTATTAATTTAAATTTTAATATGAAACAAAATTTTTTTATCTTTCCCCTCCTTGACTACATTTGGCTATTCCGGTGTTTTATTGATTATTAAATGTATTTACTGAGTTTTGCTTTTTTTCTTAAACATAATTTGTTATATTGAGCAATCAATTAAAAATGATTTAGTTGCAAAATGTAAAATATAAAACCTTCCTGTTTTCTCACCTTTATCTTTTCATGGACCAATTTTGCTCTCTTCCTGGGGTTTCTTTTATTGATTGTCTCTAAAATCAGAGGTCAACGCAAGTAAGAGAATTTAAACTTGATAGAGTTGGGGCTGATATGGACAAGCTAATGCTGCATGGTTTCCTCAGTCTTTACTCTTGGATATTATTATGGAGTGTAATCCTTTTTCAAAAAGGACAAAATATGGTTAAGATTTATATCCCATTCAGTAGACCTTACTTCCTAATGAAGTGAATTGAATTTAACCATTTGTGTCTTTTTTCCCTTCCCTAACAGCTTCCATGCCTATGGCTGTTCTAAATTTGGGCCAAATATATCCATTTCAGAGAGGCTTTTTCTGTACAGACAACAGCATCCAGTATCCGTACCATGACAGTACCGTCACATCCACTGTCCTCACCATAGTGGGGCTTGGTTTACCCATTTCCTCTGTAAGTAAATTAATAAGTAGGTAGTGATGGGTTTATTGTGCTGGAGGTTGTATGAAGTGATCGAATTGGGGTGGGGGTAGTTCCATAGTACTATCTTCACCAGTGTTGATGTGGTGAATAACTGCTTGAAGAATATACCCACTATTTCAATCCAGGGCAGTGTTTCTCCAATTAAAAGGAGATATTACCTAAAACAACTTGATGACATCATAAAGAATTATAGAATGATTATTTTAGAATGAAGAGTTCATTTGAGTCATTTGGATCAACACTTTTTGGTATAGAAGTGAAGAAATGTAGGCTCAGATACTTGCTCAAGCCTTGTGAGCCATTTTATGGCAGAGCTGAAACTAAGATTATGCCTGTTTTATACCAATTTAAGGGGAAACTGAGGTCATGAAAAAGGAGATAGATTTATTTATTAAATTTGAGATAAGAGCTCATCAGAAAGAATATAAATACATATGCAAAAGAAAATCCTCAGAATACATCAAAAATATATCACTGTTTTTTTAAGTTTTACTGTCCTTTAGAAAGTTCATCAGTTTATAGGTTAATATTAGGTTTCATTACTTTAGATAACTGGAAACTTTCCTTCTAAGGTTAAGTTTCACAAACTAGCTTAAGATTGGCACTTCAGATTTGTTCTTACTTTCTTTATCCTTGGCTGTGACTTCTGCACCTTGGCCTGTATCTCTTTATGTGAGATGAAAATAAATGAGAAGGAAAAAGTAAAGATTTATCTCCTTGAGTGTTTTGGGAGTCCAGCAGGTCATGCCATATTTCTCTTTTGACCACCTATCTCTTGTCAGTTGCCTTCCTCAGATAGTTGACTTAAAAATGTTATTGCTTTAGCAAACTCTACAGCCTTATTTCTGCAATAAGATGATGGGCTGGCTTTTCTTTCCCTCTGTTGCCCCCAAATTTTCTAATAATAATAACCTAATTCTTTGGTTTTTCAGTTCATCTCTGAGTCCATTCTGCCCTTTTGGCTAGCAGATTTTTTGTTGTTGTTGATGGTCTTTAGCACAGTATTCTAAAGGTGCAGAGAACTTGGATTTTGTTATATTCCAGAATATATTAAATACTTCCACTTATAGTCTATACATCCTAATTTGATTATAACCACCTTTATAGGAGTAAAAAAGGGAGAAAATTGGAGATTTAGTTTATGGAAATATTTACTCCTTTCCTAAGTAAATTCCACCATAATTGGCAACCTTAATGTTAACCACCAGGCTTATGAAACATTGTGCAGGAAAGCATATAGTACTGTTACTTAGATGATAATAGACAATGGTCCTGTACTTATATGAAGTACAAGGTATCTGTTGTAGCCATTATTTGAGTAGCAGTTGCTCAAATCGAGAAGAGGGCTCAGTGAAGCCTAAGTTTGGTCAAGGAGAGTTTTTGTCCCTTTGTACTATCATTTATGATAAACTTCATCCTAAATGTGTATTATATATTAAGTTATTAGCTCCTAATAGAAGAACATTTATGTAAACATATCTTAATGTGCAAAAGTCTTTAAGTATGCTAAAGATAAGTTACTTGAAATCCTAGTATGTCTCTATTTGAAGTGTTCGTCTATTAAAATTCTCTTTCTCTAGGATGTTGATTATTCCCATTTTTGATGGGGGAATTTTAGTGAAGTCATTCTTGGTGATTATTGTTTAAAAATACAGAAATGTCAATAGCCTTTTAAACCAAAATTTAGAATAATGTACTTTGGATTATTCTTTTCGGCTGTTGTGGTGTGTGAATGTAACAGGAAGAATGCCTGGCTTTTGTATAGCATTCAGCACAAGTTTTTTTCTAGCATTGGTTATTCCTCAGATTTTTGCTACAAGTATTACCAGTGTGCTGTATGAAGTAGATAATATTCACAGTTTTAAAGGATAAAGTTCAACTTGGAAGAGATATTTTCCTCTATTTTTGGTACTCTAATTGCTTTCAAATTAACTTTTTAAAAATCACTTTTACTCCCTTTATTAATGCCTGAGGAAAAAGACAGTACAGGATAATTTGGGGCATTGGTGGTGGGGAGTAATTGGATTGTTATATAATACTATATCTGTAAAGTTTGAGATTTACTAATGTTTAGAAAGACTAGGGAGATCACTTACTATGGATATGTGGATTTTCCCAAGTTCTTTGTTTTGGCATATAGTTTGAAAAATCGTATTTCTTTAGGTGACTATCCCAAAGGACGTAACTGAGGCCCAGTTTTTATTATTTTTGAGTAGCTACTTAGATGGTAATAAGAAATTGCTATGACGAAGGAAGGGTTAGTAATATGTTTATATTTATAAGCTGTAGGGTAGTATATAAGTAAAATGTTACATATAGCAAAAGTGGCTATAAATGCCCTGCATTATTGGAGGACATTGGTGTTTGTTGGGTTTTATGGCATGGGAAGTCTCTCTTGCCACTCTTTCCTATACCAGCCCAGAAAGCTGGTATCAAAATGACCCATTGCCCACATTTGAATGTTTTAACTCCTTTGTTTTCATGTTGACATAAGTGCTGTACTGCCTTTTTCCACCCCCCACCTCCAATAGACACAAAGCAATAAGCTTTACTAGGGTAGGGATGGTCTGTTTTGCTCCTTGTATCCTTAGTGCAAAGCATATCACTTAATATGTAATAAGTGTTTAATAAATATAGATAGCAAAATTTAATGAAAAAATACTAAATGTGAAATGGAATAAGATTATTACTTATGTTTAATAATAATTACTACCATAACTCTTTGGAAATAATACTGTATTTCCAAGTCATCTCTTAATGTCAGGTACCTCATTAAAATAGCTTTTTAGGAAAAGGGACATTGTTAGACTAAATATATAACCTGTTTAGAGATATGTTAAAATATGGGGGAATATGTATCAGAATGAAAGACATACGGTATTATGGAGCTTAGTTTCTTAGATTGGAAATAAATTTTATTTCCTTGTTTACTTATTCCAGCATAGAGCTGCATTTTTTGTCTACATTATTATGAGAAGTACTGGTTTAATCAGTTCTTATGAGCATTTATTCCAGCACCATTTCTTTATATAATTGCCACAAATTAAGTAATACCAGATGCATCCTTAAGTAATTTGCTATAATCACAGACATTTTCTTTGTTTAAGTCTGCTTTTTATACTACCTTTGGAAGAGGTAATGTATAGATTTGGTATATTAAGTGTTTGTTATATATCCATTTTACAGAACACTTGAAAATATTTTAATAAATTTTAACATATTGGATGAACTTAAAGGAAAGAAAACTTATATAAATATTGAGTATATACTGCCAGTAATGAAAACAGAAGCTCTATTAGCTACACATTAATCGAGGTTATGAAATTACACTGCTGGTTTCCATAATGCTATGGCTTTTTAAGGTATTAATTGGGAAAAATAGCTGCTCATAAAATCTTTTTAAAAATAGTTTCTGTGTATGTTATGGAATGCCTCTGCTAAGGTTAAGTGATCAAGAGCTATTGCTTCACATGCTGAGTATAGCTCTATTAAATTAGTAGACATTATTTTCTAACTTTTCTAATGCATGCATCTTGACAAATCTGCAGCATTTGAAGGGGTTAAATATGATTCCTAGATGGGAATTCTGATTTTTAAGAAGCACTAAAATCTCCTTCTACTAAATGACCTTCATCAGTGAATTGTATGTGATAAAAAGATAATTGAAATTAAAATGTTCATTTTGCCTACACCAGGAATTAAGTCCTCTTGCCATCTAAACTTGCAATCAATTACACCCTCACCCCTGCCATTGTTTCAAGCAGAAATGACATAACTTTTTAGTTTGTTAAATATTGAATTGGCAAAATGACCAAGCAAAAATATTTTTGGTGGTTGTATTGAAATTAACATACAGTTATGTTAAAATATATGGAAAAGCTCAGATTTGTCTCTTTTTTGTTAACTCCTTTTGGTAAAATAGACCAAAATTAAAAAAAAAATAAGGTTTTTGTCTCTGAATACATGAAAATAACATGGTAATGTCTTGTGTTTTTCTGTTGCGGACCAAAGAGTTTGAAGGTGAAGTATCTCAGTATGACTTACTTTGGGAATGTCATCTGTCATAATTTAGGTAAAATTGAAGTGAAGGCATTTGTGTTAATATTTCATAAACTTATTTCCTTCTTTCATAAATACTATTTTGAAAACTCTAGCCGATGATGTTATATACTTTCTTAGGTCCTAAGAAATTGGTTGAAATGGTGATGTTGTTTCTTTGAAAACTTTTTGTAATTAAAAATAAATTTGTACCTTGGATTTGGCAATGAGGTTTTAGATATCAACACCAAAATCATGATCCATGAAAGAAGTAATAAGTTTTGCCTTATTAAAAATAATGTCTGCTCTGTCTAAAGCCATACACTAGGGAAAAATATTTATAAAACACATATCTGATAGAGGATTTGTGTCCAAAATATACAAATAACTCTTAAAACTCAACAGTAAGAAAACAAACAACCTAATCAAAAAGTGGGGAAAAGATCGAAATAGATAGACACCTCACTGAAGAAGACATACAGATGGCAAATAAGCATATGAAAAGATACACCATATCATATTTTATTAGGGAATTGTAGATTAAAACAACAGTGAGATACTACTTCGCATCTATTAGAATGGCTAACGGTCAAAACACTGACATTACCAAATGCTGTGAGCATGTGGAACAACAGAAGTTCTCAGTCATTGCTGATAGGAATGCAAAATGGTAAAGCCACTTTGGAAGAGAGTGGGCAGATTTTTACAAAATTAAACATAGTCTTACCATAGTCTAGATCAAGCTCCTAGATATTTATCCAAATGAATCGAAAACTTATGGCCACATAAAAGCAAGCACATGATATTTATAGCAGCTTTATTTTATTTTTTAACTGAAGTATTACTGATTTACAGTGTTGTGTTAGTGAAGTAAGTCAGAAAGAGAAAAACACCATATGATATCACTCATATGGGGAGTCTTAACATGACACAGATGAACTTATTTACAAAACAGAAACAGACTCACAGATATAGAAAATAAACTTACGGTTACCAAAGGGAAATTAGGGGTAGGAATAAACTAAAAGTTTGGAATTTACAGATATAATATAGATATATCAGCTTTATTCGTAACTGCTAAGACCTGGAAGCAACTGAGATGTCCTTCAGTAGGTGAATGGATAAACCATGGTACATCGATACAATGGAATATTATTCAGTGATAAAAAGAAATAGCTATCCAGCCTTAAAAAGACATGGAAAAACCTTAAATACATATTGCTGAATGAAAGAAGCCAATCTGAAAAGGCTACATTGTGTATAATTCCAACTATATGACATTCTGGAAAAGGCAAAACTATGGAGACAATAAAAAGATCAGTGGTTGCTAAGGGTTGGCAGGAGGACAGAGAAGGAATGGATAGTTGGAGTACAGAGGACTTTTAGGGCAGTGAAACTGTTACGTATGATATTATAATGGATGCATGATGTTACATATTTGTCAAAACCTCTAGAACTGTACAACACAAAGAATGAACCCTAATATAAACTATGAAGTTTACTTAATAATAATGTATCAATATTGGTTCATCAGTTATAACAAATATACCACATCTGTGGAAGATGTTTATAACAGAGGAAATTAAGGGTGGTGGTTGTGGAAAAAGAGTGTATCTTTTACTTTCTGCTCGGTTTTTTATTAACCTAAAATTATTTTAAGAAAGTGTATTAATCTTAAAAATTTTGAAAATAAAAAAAATTTGCTCACAAAGTCTGGTGAAATGTCAATGCTCTTTCTAAATAGTATTAGTAATAATTGCTACAAATGGTTATCTTTATAGTGAATAATTTATACATTCATTGCTAGGAATAGTATTACTTGATAATATATAAAAAGTAAACTTTCAAGGCTGTTCTTTATATAATTTATTTGTTAACTCATTTTATAAGAGTGTTTTTTTAAATAATAAAAATTCTTTCACTGTTTTTTCTTGTTTTTTTTTTACATTTTATTTTTTATTGAAGTGTAGTTGATTTACATTGTTAGTTTCAGATGTGTAGCAAAGCAATTTAGTTATACTTACATATGTATATTTTCAGATTCTTTTCCATTATAGCTTATTATAAGAAATTGAATATAGTTCCCTGTGCTATACAGTAGGTCCTTGTTGTTTATCTGTTTTATATATAGTAATGTGTGTGTGTTAATTCCAAACTCTTAATTTATGCCCCATCCCCATTTTGTAACCATAGTTTGTTTTTTATGTCCATTAGTTTACTTCTTGTTTATAAATAAAGTTTGTATCATTTTTTTAGATTCCACAAGTAAGTAATATCATATGATATTTGTCTTTCTCTGTCTGACTTACTACACTTAATATGATAATCTCTAGGTCCATCCATGTTGCTGCAAGTGACATTACTTCATTTCTTTTATGGCTGATTAATATTCCATTGTATATATATACCATGGTTTTTTTTATTTGGTATAGTCAGTTTACAGTGTTGTGTCAATTTCTGGTGTACAGCACAATGCTTCAGTCATACATGAATATACATATATTCATTTTCATACTCCTTTTCACTGTAAGCTACTACAAGATATTGAATATATTTCCCTGTGGTATGCAACCACATTTTCTTTATCCATTCATGTGTTGATGGACATTTAAGATTGTTTCCATGTCTTGGCCATTGTAGATAGTGCTGCCAGGAACATTGGGGGTGCATGTGTCTTTTTGAATTTCAGTTTTCCCTGGATATATGCCCAGTATAATTGCTGGATTATATGGTAAGTCTACTTTTAGTTTTATAAGGAACCCCCATGCTGTTGTCCATAGTGGCTGCACCAATTTTCATTCCCACCAACAGTGTATGTGGGTTTCTTTTTCTCCATACCCTCTCCAGCGTTTATTATTTGTAGACTTTTTAAATCATGGCCATTCTGACTGGTGTGAGGTGATATCTCATTATAGTTTTGATTTGTATATTCTTGCCTCCTTTGTTGTGGATTAATTGACCATAAGCGTGTGAATTTACTTCTAGACTTTCAGTCCTGTTCCATTGGTCTGTGTGTCCGGTTTTGTGCCAGTACCATGCTGTTTTGATTACTGTAGCTTTGTAGCATAATCTGAAGTCAGGGAGTGTGGTTCCTCCAGCTCTGTTCTTCATTCTCAGGATTGTTTTTGTTATTTGGGGTCTTTTGTATTTTCATACAAATTAAAAAGTTATTTGTTCCAGTTCTGTGGAAAATGTCATTGGTAATTAGATAGGGGTTGCATTGAATGTGTATATTGCCTTGAGTAGTATGGCCATTTTAACAATATTGGGTCTTCCAATCCAAGAACATGATGTATCTTTCCATCTGTTTGTGTCATCTTCAGTGTCTTTCATCAGTGTCTTCCAGTTTTCAGAGTATAGGTCCTTGGCCTCCTTAGGTAGGTTTATTCCTAGGCATTTTATTCTTTTTGGTGTGATGGTAAATGGGATTGTTTCCTTAATTTCTTTTTCTGATATTTGGTTGTTAGTGTATAGAAATGCAGCTGATTTCTCTATATTAATTTTGTATCCTGGAACTTTAGTGAATTCACTGAATGAGATCTAGTAGTTTTCTGGTAGTGTCTTTAGGATTTTCTGTGTATAGTATCATGTCATCTGCAAACATTGACAGTTTTACTTTTTTTTCCAGTTTGGATTTCTTTTCTTTCTTTTTTTCTTTGCTCTGACTGGGACTTCCAAAACTAGTTGAGTAAATGTGGCGAGAGTGGGCAATCCTTGACTTGTTCCTGATCTTAGAGGAAATATTTTCAGCTTTTCACCATTGAGTATGATGTTAGCTATGGGTTTGTCATATGTGGCCTTTATTATGTTGAGGTATATTCCCTGAGAGTATTTGTTTTGACTTTAGATCACTGGTTCTTGCCAAAGGAAAGGAGTGCAAAATTGGTTGACAGTTTAATAAATAAAATACTTTTAATTTATTAAACTTAATAATGTAGTGAAGACCTAAATTTAGAAAATATATAAGTTTAGTGCAAGTTTTCAGTTTTTATAATAAAAAACAAAAGAGGAACTGAAATCTTGGCACTTATAGTCCTATAATTAAGAAGATATATGTATGGGCTATATTTAGTTCATTTTATGTAAGGACCATTTCAAGTTTTATTATGCAGTAGACCTGTAATACACTAAAATTTTTTTGGTTCTCTCTGAAAAATTATTGAATGTAGAGTCATCTTTGAATATTGAAGATTTTATCTAAATATAGGTTCACAGTCCATTATCCAGAACTCTTGGAGCCAGAACTTTCTGAATATTTGGAGGGTTATATGATTCATACACCTTGTGTAATGCCCTCAGCAGGGTCTAGGGCAGTACCTTGTAATCAAATACATCAATATTTATATAGTGAAATATGACTAGTCAAAGTAAGTGGGGTAAATAAAGGCCAGGATCATTCCTTCATTTGTTGAGGTTAAGTTTTGCCATTAAATAAGTTCAGGTTAGATTTTGGTGCCAAATATGAAAGAACTAGGATTTTGAGGACTTCGGGCCTTAGAATAAGGGATTACAGGCCTTTTAATGAAAGCCGATTTAAACTTAATTTTTTATGTTATGTGGTTACTTTAAACAAATATTTGAAAATCCTTAATTTAGTTTTTGTTGAGAAGCAGGACCTATGGTTGAAAGTTAAGCTTAGAACTGTTTATGTGAAACCAACTTATTTGTGATTGGAATGCAGGGTTGGTGAAGTAAGCCATAAAAAATAAACATGTCCAATGCAGCACATTGATTTTGAATACTGCCTTACTAAGTAATTGTGAAATATGAGCAAAAATAGTGTCCTGTAAAGAACATTTTGGTGTTTCCCTGTAGCTACAAATTGCTAGCTTTCTGGAAAATTACTTAATATTCTATTGTAGCTAAATTGCTGTGGGCTTCACAAATTAATTTCTCTATAACTTGGGGGAGAATGCCCTTGTGTAATTTTAGGAGCAAATTTCCTGTTTCTAATGTGAAGAGTCACTGTTTTGTGGGACCCAGTGAGAAAATCATTGGAAAGGAAGATGGAAAGAGCAACTGTGAAGGCACCCA